AAAGAGAAATAGAAAGAAAGAAACATCTTACCCCTGGGCTGGAAAATATCAATAGGATGAAAGGTATTAGGCTATTGTAAGCAGCTTAAGTAAGAAGAGTCGATGCACCTCAACGCTGGTCCAGATTGCAGCACGAGTTAGAAACCTAAATCAGAACCTGAACTCTCTTGAAGCATCTATACTTTAATATCCCATTTGAGACCTGAACTTGGGTAAAATAGGACATGTATGTTCCTTCCAAATACTTGTTGTGTCTTCTCAGGCTTTTCCCACCATTCAGACAGAGGCCTACCCCCAGATACAGCTAGAATTCCCCACAACCCCACCGCTGCTTGCCTCTCCCTCGACAGCTATAATCACTGGCTCCTGTTATTAAGGCAGATGTGACATCTGATTAGTGAGAGCAGGGCCATAGCCCACTGCCGTCTATACAACTGGACTCCTCCCATGGCTCCTCCTTGCAATGTTCCTCCCTTGCCCATTCTGGGCTGGCCATACTTGCCACCTTCTTCTTGTCACTACTTCTTGAGCCAGACTAATTTCTCTTAGAGAGATCTCTCCCTCTTAGACAGAGCTGGTGTGTTCTCTGAGCTATTGTCTGGTCTGCAGGTCCAGCTGGGCACCTCTTCTTGGATAACTAGAGACTGTGATCTTAGATAAGCCACCCCCAAGGTCAGGACTCAGCTCAACAGAAACCACTCAGGTCCAACCTGGGCTAAGCTGTCTGTGCAAGGATGCCCAGGTTCAGGCTTTCCCACTTTTCTTCTGTCCTGAGATGCATCAGATGCCAGTATGTGCAGACCTAGAAATGAATCACTTCTACTCAAGAAGTATTCTGGTCAGATATGAGTGGATACCACAGAAAGTTCCAGTAAGGGCTGTCCTAGTCTCAACAGAACTGCTCTCGAGCTGAGTAATGCGGCTGCCTTGACTTGGTCTCTCAGAGCCCTTGCTGTTAGTGAACCTCAATAGAGGAAGGCAGCCTTCAGTTAAGAGAAGCTACAGTCTCCTTCTGCCCACCCCTTCCCATATTGGTTCCTTACGATGTTTCTGGGGCATCCCATGGAATTCTGCCTCCAGGCAGGATTTGATTGGTTCTAAAAGTCACTTTTCTACAGGAATCCAAAAAAAAAAAAAAAAACAACAACAAAAAAAACAAAACAACAACAAAAACCCGCTCTCTTGCCCTCAGTTGAATACCAGGACCACTACTGTGCAAGGTGACTGGCACAGTGGGAGCCCATCAGCAGAGCTGCATGCTGCAAAGACTCATTCATGAGAATTCCCCTATGGGAACCTCAAAAAGTTAAGCCAAAGCTGGAGGAGGAAAATCAGACTAGAGCTGGGGGCAGATTGTCTGGGAAGACATTAGGGGAATTCTGAAACCATGGAACTCACCAGAAGGCATGGCCTTGTACCATCCCAGGGAGCCTGGAAGAAAAGAATGGAACTGGGGGAAGCTCTGTCTTTCTGGACTTGCACCACCTGAGTCCCAGGATAATATTACAAGAACAAGGCCCGTGTCTTTTCCAGAAAACATACTTGTCACAAAGTGACAAAAAGCTGAGAAAAAAAACAGAAGTTGAAAAAAGAATCTGAAATCTCGGACCAAAAAAAATATATATATATTTTTTAAAGACAGGAACTTTCAATGCAGCTTAGACTACCTTAGAATTTTTTTTGAAAAATTAGTTTCTATGTATTTTGTGTGCATGTGCACATATGTGTGCATTCTCATGCATGAGCCATCTCCTACATAGAGATCAGAGAACAACCCAAGAGTTAGCTCTTTTCTTCCATCATGTGAGGCTTGGGGCTCAAACTCAGGATGTCAGACTTGGTGGCAAGTGCTTTTGCTTGCTGAGCCATCTTACAGGCCCTACCTTTAGACTTCTGGCCGTCCTTGCCTCGGCCTCCCAAGTGCTAGGATGGCAGGCATGTAGTAACCAGTTTTTTAAAATAGAGTCTTTGTTTGGTTGGTTTTTGTTTTCTTTTTTCCTTTTCTTTTCTCTTTCTTTCTTTCTTTCTTCCTTCCTTCCTTCCTTCCTTCCTTCCTTCCTTCCTTCCTTCCTTCCTTTCTTTCTTTCTTTCTTTCTTTCTTTCTTTCTTTCTTTCTTTCTT